ATAGAGAGCCGTGCCAGCAGATGTGCCAAGGGGAACGCTCTCTTTTGAGGGAGAGGTGAACATGCAGCCTAAGACTATCCTGAGTCGCATACTAGAGTCTCCTCATCTGTACTGCTGGCTGTTATGTTTAGCCAACAAATATCTCAGCTGAGGGACAACCCCATAGCTCTCTCTTCCCCTGAACTGTGAAATCCCAAATCATGGAAATGGGATGAGAATAGTAGGGGAGCCACTAAAGAGTTCAGGAGGGGTTTTAAACTGAGTTATGTGGGAGAGGGAAACAATGGGGGGATGCAGACCAGGGCGTCGGAGACGCCCTGGTCCGGAGCGCCGCCGGAGTTCAGCCTCCGGACCACGGCGCTCCTGCGGCGAATCTAAAAGGACCGCCAAAATGGCGATCCTTTTAGATTCTCCGGAAAGGGCGCCCTAAAAGCGGCGGGCGCACTTTCCGGGGCTCAAACGCCGCGGCGCGTTCGGCTGCCGCGGCGTGAGGGCAACCCGCAGTTGCCGGCCGTGCGGACGGATGGCACTTCCGGGTGCGCCCTCAGGAAGAGGAAGGGCCGCCGAACGTGCGCCGGCTCCTCTTCTTCCGGGCCTCGGAGACGGCCCAATTACCCATCTGCCGAGGCCCAATATTCCAGAGGGAATGGAGTACCAAGTACTGAGGACAATACAGATGAAACTATTGAGAGATATGAAAGATTATAATGGATCCCTCAAGCTCTCAAGCAGAGTAACTAATGTGCTAGGCAGAAGATGAACAGTCTGCCAGCCCACTTTGTTCCATACACAAGATCTAACAGAGAAAGAAACCACAGTCCTTCTTTTGTAAGGTATATAAAGATAGTTTTACTCATGAATGCTCTTGCATAATTAATACAGGTTCATCTTTTTGAAGAAAGGTAAGACAAGAATGAGTATTATATGGTATCAGGAGAGTTGGAGCATGTCATCAAGAGAGGCTCTTATGACACATGCCTCATGGGGGACCCTGCCTCCAAGATGGCGCAAAGGGCCATCTATATTATTATTAATGTTATTTTATTTGGCTGTAACTGTTTTAAATTGTTTTTTGATTTAATAACTTTTTAAGGGGGGAGGTGGGAGTTACTTGGATTTTATATTGTATGGTATTTTATCTTGTTCACCGCCCGGATTGGCTCGCCACAAGGCGGTATAAAAATAAAAATTATTATTATTATTATTATTATTATTATTATTATTATTATTATTATCTATAGAGGCCCTACGTTTCATGTAGATTAGGGATGAGTAGCTCTTTGATGCTAAGGGGCCACATTAGCCTTATAGAATTAAGGCCTTTTAGGTGCTGCATCTCTCCACAACAAAAAACAACAACAATTTTTGCCCTCAGATGTTCCCCAATGCCCTTTAAGGAGTGTTGTGGGCATATTCACCAAGTTTTTAGCCCCTGGAGAGGTCTTTTTTAAAAAAAAAAAATTCAAGAAATGACCAGAAGTCAGAATCAAATGAGCTTATCACATTGTTAAATAACTCGCCTTACCCGATCTGGCTTAACATTAAATTCAGGTAGTGTCCAGACCCTATTGCAAGGGTTTTGCCACCGAAATCGCCACCCGGGACCATCCTGGGGCCATCCTCGCTCCTGGAGCTACTCTGGTGGCCATTTTATCAAGTTGAAAAAGCTTCGAAAAGCTCACCTATGAGTGGCTCTAGGAGCGGAGATGGCCCTGGGCTACATTTGGGCAGTGATTTTGGCTGCAAAACCCTTGTGATAGGGTCCGGGTGCTACCTGAATTTAATTTTAAGCCAGATCAGGTAAGGCGAGTTATTTAACAATGCAATGAGCTCCACAGAGTTGGAAGAGCTCCCAAGGGCCATCCAGCCCAATCCCTTTTGGCTATGGAGGAAGACACAATCAAAGGACCCCTGACAGATGGCCATCCAGGTTTAAAAACTACTGTTGAACAGCTCTTTCTGTCAGGAAGTTCTTCCTAATATTTAAGTGGAATCTCTTTTCCAATAGTTTGGATCCATTGCTCTTACTGTCACTTCTGTTTTCTGGGCTAGAGGAGGCTCCAAAACATGGAGAAAATGCCCTCCAAAGGGCATTTGGGGCAATTTTTTGACCCTGGGAAGCCCCGAGGGCTACAGAAATGGCCCCGGGGTGGGTACACATTGCTCCAATGGGCAAAGCTCTCTACCTTTGACTACTCTTTACAACCATAGCCGAAATTAAACTTGTCCCCCTATAATCATGTGTATGTGTGTGTTGTGTGCCTTCAAGTCATTCCTGACTTATGGCAACCCTATGATGGAGTTTTCTTGGCAAGATTAGTTCAGAGGAGGTTTGCCATTACCTCCCCCTGAGGCTGAGAGTGTGTGATTTGCCCAAGGTCACCCAGTGGGTTTCATAGCTTAGCTGGGAATTGAACCCTGGTCTCCAGAGTGGTAGTCCAACCCTCAGACCACTATGCCATCCTGGCTCCCTTTAACCATACCCACATATTTTGCATTTCTATTACTATTCACGGTGCCCATCCACTGGTAAAATATCTTCCTAACCACCCATTGATAAAATATCTCTCCATATAAGCACCACTCCATGCGTCTGATGAAGGAAACTAATGGTGACCCCCATGAATATTAATAATGGTTTTACTAGGCAAGAAAATACTCAGATGGGGTTTTGCTAGTTCCTTCCTCTGAAACACAACCTACAACACCTGGTATTCTTTAGTGGTCTCCCATCCAAATGCTAAGCAGGATCAGGCAGGATCTGATGCCTTTGGCCTGTTTATACCATACATATCAGTAAAATGCAGTAAAATCGTTTCTGCAGTGCATAATTAATACATCTCTCAGGGAGGGCAAATTTCCACCGAAAGCTTAAAACGAGCGGAAAAAGCCCTCCCTTGACCCCCTGGTAAGAACCAACTATAGACCAGTCTCTTTATTACCATTTTTGGGCAAGGTGATCGAGAAGGCAGTCACCTTCCAACTCCAGGCGGTCTTGGATGAAGCCGATTATCTGGACCCATTTCAAACCAGCTTCAGGGAGGGATACAGAGTTGAGACTGCCGTGGTCGCCTTAGTCGATGACCTCCGTCTGGGTGTCG